AGCAGTTGTACTTTACCGTTTTGTGAAAGATTCTTAAAAATATGGTAAAAATGCCATTTGCATAAATCTGGTAGAAAAAAACAGAAATAGGAAAGATAGAGAACTGGAAGACACCATAATTTTACATGTAAGTAATAAATCTTTTTGGTACTTCTTTTTGTTGGTTGCTTAGTTAGTACTGCTGAATTCTGTATCAACATTATTTATTATTCCTGTGGATCTTGGTAGCTTAGTGACAATGGAAAATGTCTTATCTGTGCTTGAAAAACAACGTTGCTTTTCTCTTTAGAGAGCCACATGTGATTTGCCAGCTCTCCATATTTAAATTTCACGTGTCTCCAGAGAAGACCCCAGGATACATTGCCTATGACTGTCCATCTTCAGGCAAGGCAGAGAAAGGAGGTTCAATAATCTGTGATAAAATAACTGCTGGTAATGAAGATTCTAAACTGACATCAGAACTGGGGCAGAGCTGTGAGAATATCTCAGCTCAGTACCCAGAGCCTTCTCACCTCATTTACACCATCCTCACATCCTGATACCCCTCATGAAGTGCAAGAGGACCCAAATGTTTTTACCTTTTCATGTAAATTGATCATGTATGGCAAACAGTCCCAGAAAAGACATGCCTGGAAATATGTGCTTAAGAATATGAGCTGTAGCACTCCATCTCTGAAATGTTCAAAGAATTAATAATTTCAAGTGTAAGTGGTATTAAATATTTATTTTCTAACAAAAGATAGAAATTTTTAAGAGTCTGAAAAACACTAACTAGGTCAGAAATATTTTTAAGCTACATATACATTGTTTTCCTTTAGTGCAACAAAATTAGCATTTAATAAGAATCACTCACTTCTTATGGGCTTAAGAACATTTTAGTTCACTTTAAGCCACAACTTTCACATTTAGAATTTTCTAGTCATAGTTGTAAACTTTTCAGAAGTCCGAACAGACAGTTAAATGATTATTTTGAAAAGTGTACATATGGGAAGAACTGTTTTCTTATTAGATCACTCTTTGATAATTCAGATACTTAAGTTATTATTTCCAATGAAAATTTTTTAAAATCAAATAAATTGAAAAACTAGACATATAATCATGTCTCCAAGGAGTTCCAATCTTCTGCCAAAACAGACCTCAACTTCATAATCCCTTGTCCAAAAAAGTTGGACCAAGTATTGATGTTTTCCACCAAGCAAGCCACAAAGTCACAAATGTTTCTCATTTACTCCACTCCTGGGATATACAGCTCAAATAAAAAATTTCCTGAATACCCCAAATTTCAGATGCAATTTGGAATGCAAGTGATTCATAATGTTATGCAGGACACATTGTGATCTTCTTACCAACTCAGTGCTTCTGGAATGCAATCTTCAGGAGATCATTCCAACCAATTAGAAGGCTGACATCCCTTTCAGCCATGTGACCCAAATATTATGCTCTCTGCCCTTAGCTCAGATGTAATTTTGAACCCTCAGCAATCCTCTACTCCAGCTACTGTTCAAAATAAGAAAGAGTTACCTCAAGGGAACTAGCAAAGATCCCTACTGTGATCTATGACAAATAACATGGTCGCAGTGCGTGGCATCCCCATCAAAAGAGTGCAAAACAGTGTTAAAAGAAATTAAAGGCCAGGCACAGTGGATCACGCCTGTAATTCCAGAACTTTAGGAGGCCGAAGCAGGTGAATCACAAGTAAGGAGTTCTAGACCAGCCTGACCAACATTGTGAAACCCCATCTCTACCAAAAATACAAAAATTAGCCAGGCATTGTGGCACACACCTGTTATCCCAGCTACTCAGGAGGCTGAGACAGGAGAATCACTTGAACCCAGGAGGCAAAGGTTTCAGAGAGCCAAGATCGTGCCACTGCACTCCAGCTTGGGCAACTCCATCTCAAAAAATAATAATAAAGAAAGAAATTGAAGCCACTGTCACTGCTCTGCACCAAAAGCCTCTCAGAGTAGCCTCTGAACATACTTAGATTCTAATTCAAGAGTAAAATTTCAGTGAGCCTTCCAGTTACATGAGTCCTTTTCTAATCCCACCTCACTCCCCTTGTTAAGTCGTTAACAATTTATTCGAGTACCTGTCATCTTTTGTGATTTACATTTTCTTTCAATAAAAAAACACAGCCGGGCGCGGTGGCTCACGCCTGTAATCCCAGCACTTTGGGAGGCCGAGGCGGGTGGATCACGAGGTCAGGAAATCAAGACCATCCTGGTCAACATGGTGAAACTCCGTCTCTACTAAAAATACAAAAATTAGCTGGGCATGGTGGCGTATGCCTGTAATCCCAGCTACTCAGGAGGCTGAGGCAGGAGAATTGCTTGAACCAGGAGGCGGAGGTTGCGGTGAGCCAAGATCGCGCCATTGCACTCCAGCCTGGGTAACAAGAGTGAAACTCCGTCTCAAAAAAAAAAAAAAAAAAAAAACAGTTGATATAGAGGAAGGAAAGTACTGCACTGAATGTACTAAATGAACATAAAAACTGTAAGTCTTAGACAATGTGATTGCTGAAAATGGTGAAAGATCAAGGTATAAACACTTACTGACATTGTTTTCCATTAACTAAAGGGATCATCACAAGGAAAATATTCAGTTAAGGGGAACGCCTAAGCAAGGATTACCTAAGGGAATATAAGACGAAACTCATAACACTTTGAAAGTTTAGGCAAAGAAAGAGACCTACTGATTCTACAGAAATAACAGACAATAGGAAGACATTTCTCAAATGGAAGGAATTTGGGGAAGGCTTAAAATCATTATGCAGAAAAAGAAAAAAAAATCTAGCATAAAGAATATTCTCCACAATCACAATGATGGAGAACCTACCAAAACAGTGGATTGGCTTAAGGTAAATTCATGGCTCTATAGGCAATTTTGATAATAGTAACATTTACAAAGAAACAAACTGAATCTGTAAATTAAAATATTGACATAAATAATGTTCCCATGAGATGTTTGCCTCAGAAAGCCATGAAAAAATATATAAATACATAGAAAAAAATAATATCTACATGTTAATTTAAAAAATAAGATCAGTTTAAACTTGTGGTTGGATCAATGCCCACCATGAATAATTGGAAATGTGGCTTGAATATATCTGGCTATCAGAGATCCTATTTTCCATCCCACCTCAGCAGTTTGATAAGAGTCATCTCTCATGTATCCATACAAAAAGGGACACTAATCACATTGATTATCTAATACTTATTTGTACTGAAAAAAATTGGTTAGATGACATTAGAAAATTAAATAGTCTAGATGACTGTTTTCCAGTTACTTGAAAAGTTGATTCTATGAATTTTCATTCTTGCTGTTGATTCTAGACTGAGAATTGAATGAAATCAGTGTAATTTCAACAAATTGTCAAACTATCAGAATTTCTATGAATGAATGACCACAGGTATATGAAGCTTCTTGAATAGCGCACATGATAGATTCTCAAATACTGTTCATTTCTTATTCTTTTCCCTTCCCCTCTTACTTTTGCCAACCAGAGCTTGACTTCCTTTTCTGCAGTTTAGGATCCAGGAAGATGAGCTTTTACACATAAACAGTCAATTCTCTGTCACAATTTAACATTTCCTTACTCTTTTGGTCATCAGATCAATGTGTTCTAACCGTAGGGTTCCTCTAAAAACTGCATCATTTTCTCTTCTTGCCTTAATTTCCATTGAGGGATCATCTAACTTCAATGCATACTTTGTATCAGAACCTAATGTTTTGTCCAGCAGTATATGCTAGCATACTGGGAAACTGAATTCAATAAAACATGATTCCCACCAGTGATAGTTAATTTTATATGCTAATTTGACTAGGTTACAGGGTACCAGATAGTTGGTCAAACATTATTCTGGGTGTTTCTGTAAGGGTGTTTTTGGAAAAGATTAACATTCTAATCAGGAGACTTGAATAAAGTATACAGCCCTCTATAATGCAGATGGGCCTCAACCAATCATACTGAGTCCTGAATGAAACAAAGGGCTGACCTACCCCAGAGTAAGAGAGAATTCTCCTAACAGCCTGCAACCTGGAATACTGGCTCTTCCTGCCTTATGGGTTTCCAAGTGGGATATCAGCTCTTCCTGGTTCTACAGCAGCTTCTGGCCATTGGACTTAAACTGGTACATCAGCAATGCAGATTTTATATTTACCAGCTCCCATAATCATGTGAGCTAATCCCCTATTTTATATATATATATACACACATATATATATATATATACACATATGTATATACACACACACACATAGACATATATACATACATATAGGCACATATATACACACATACATACACATATATACACACACACAACCATATATATATATATGTATATATCTTTTTAATATTAAAAAAAGGAATATAAGGATATATATCCTCCTTTTTTTGGAGCCATAGTCTTGCTGTTGCCCAGGCTGTAGTGCAATGGCATCATCATGGCTCACTGCAGCCCTAACTTCCTGGGCTCAAGTGATCCTCCCACCTTAGCCTCTTAAAGTGTTGAGATCACAGATGTGAGCTACTGTACCGTGGTTTCTCTGGGAAACCCTGACTAACATACCACCTCCAACAAACTCAAAGCCTAGTCATGGGGAATATCCCCAAGTAAACCTTCTTCATAAAGCCTCTTTCAGAGAGTAACACAAGGTACAGTATTATGAACCAAAAAACTGTCAAACAAATAATACTATCAAACATTCACTAAATGAAATAAAAGTACCTGAAAGCAAGATCTGCCAGCGACAATATCAGACTATGTAATTCATTCCCTCAGGAATTCTCATAAAGTGAGTGCCCTGATGTTAGTTTATAGCTAGGCTTGCCCTTTCCTACATATGCTGACTAGATGAGATTTCTCTGCTTTTATGAGTTAGTTACTGTTATTTGAAGCAGGTCATTTGGAAATAAATCTAAAACAGGGAGTAAAGGTTATATATTAATTCATCCCTCCTCACAGTGCATAGTACAAATAAGAAGCAAATAAGCTCACTTGAATGGCAGCCAAATTCTTCTGATCCTGAGATGGTGCCTCATGAACAAAGCGAAGCCAATTGGAGTGCCGTGGGTTGGTAGCATCCAAAATGTACAAAACTTCTCCCTTACTCCCACGAACCTGAAACATTAAAGGCTCCTGAGTTTACAATGGAAGTCAGAATATTAGCTTTTAAACACATCAAGGTTAGAACGTGATTTTTTTATAAATATATACTTTTTTATTGATAGGTGATAAATAAAAGATTAACATGCATTCTTCTCTTAAACACATGTATAAGTCGAGCCTACTATTTCATTTGGCAGATGTCTAGATGACTCACAATTGCAATGAACTCTCAGAAGCACCATGTGTTGATAGCTGTTTTCTGGTCAAAATTATTTTGCTTTGTAGGTATATTCCAGTATATGTATTGCAATCACAATTGTTCAGAGAATAATTATTGCAATCTTCTCCTTTTCTTCAAAGAGAAGGGTCATACTGCTTATTTCCCAATTGAGAGGGGTGGAATTGGATGAATCACTTCTATTTCTCTCTGAATCTGCTTACTGAATCATCTCCATAAAAGGAGAACTTGCTCATCTAGCCAGTGAGAATCTGACATCCAATGAGACAAAATATCATGTTCTTTACCAGTGAATGAATGAAACAGTTTCATTTTATCCTTTCATGCCCCACTCACAGATTGCTGAGAAGGACAGTGGGCTCTCTGGTTTTTGTCTCAGACCAAATGATCTCGCTGCTCAGATCTACTCTATGTTCCACTGGAGAGAGGAGGGGAGTAACTTCCAAAGCAGGTAGCTCATTGGACATTCTTGAATCCAAGTTGTTGGAAATCTAGCATCTCCCAAACCCCTGCATTATCAGTTGCTAGGCACTTTCCCAGTTTATAAAACTTATATGCCAATCTCCATTCAACTCTCATTTCATGTTTCTATTCCACTGGAATCCAGAAAGCGGGGGGAGAGGAATGATTAGCACTCCGTATCTCCAACACCAAGTAAGTAACATAAATATACAGGTTACAAATTCATCTTGGCAGACATGATAAGAGTTCTAGATTTCTAAAACTTTATTTTATAAAAAAAAGAACAATCAGTCCAATAAGGTATGTATTTTCATGATACATCTGGACAATCATTTGCTCATTCAACAAATAATTATTGTTCTTAATGGCTGAAAGTATCAAGAATCTTTCAGTGAACAAGACAAAGCCCCAGGCCAGATGGCACTTAAAAGTAAACAAATGTAAAATATAATTTCATTTAAAGATGAGCACTATGAAGACAACTAAAACAGAGCAGGAGAAAACAGAACTAAGAGAAGGGCTTTATTAGATGAGGCGGTCAGGGAAAGCCCTTTGATAAGGTGACCTTAAGAGTTCTAAAGAGAGGGAACAGACCAGTAGAGGGCTGGAGGAAGACTGTTCCCATGAAGAGGGTACAGCAAGGGAAAGGCAAAGAGAAAAAGGCCTTGGGTTTAGAAATGAATCAGGTGCATTCAAAGAACAGTAAGAAGGCTATGGGGCTGGAACGGGAGGAGCGACCGAGAAAGTGGTGGGCGTTGAGATGTGACAGACTGGCAGACACCAGGTTATGTGGAGACCTACAGGCCAGGAAGACATCTAGACAGTTACTTTGAGTAGGTACAGTTATTTTTACCCAAAAACATTTTAAAAACCATCTGTTACATGCACTGCAAAAACTGATAGTTCAAGATTCTTATATATAATACCCAGGGAAGAATACAGTTTGCCTGTTCCTACTATCTGACATACTGCCATGTTTCTCAAACAATTCCTATTTTCTTAAATGCCTAAGGATCCTCAATAATCCTTTTAAAATCTCCTTTATGAAATGCCAGACCATTGCTGGGAAGCAAAAATTTCATTTTTAATAATTTTTAAAAGAGCAATTTAGGACTATAAAGATCTCATATTTATATACTTAAGATGCTTATATGTGAGGGTATGGGAATTTGTTAACACTTGCCATTAAATAGCAAACTCTCACTGAAAAGATCTGCTTTGGGAGGTGCCTGAAAATCGTCCTGCCTCCTACTTAACACTTCAGAACACTCACTGGCCACTGGGAAATTCCAAGAGTCCAGCAACACTGACATGATCGAGAGAAAGTACACTCTAACCCTATCCCTCAATGGGCATGCCAGTTCACATTTCTTTTGGCAGCGTATACAATTTTAAATACTTGGATATAAAGTCCTTCCTTTCAGGTACCTCCACAGCTATAGAACCAAAACTGTTGATATTGACAAACAGCTCAATTAAGCACAGCAGGTGGCAATGCCACCTCATACTTGAAAGCAAAATCTTCTCAGGAGAACTGAAATTGAAAATCTGTAACTGTTACTGAAATCCACACAACCCAACTAACTTTATGGAGTGAAACACAGATGGGTTTGTCCAGGGCATATGTCAGTTTGAGAGGACAGCACTACTTAGAGAATAGGTTATGGCCCTTCTTAATCATACACTGGTCACTCGGTAGTAAGCACAATATATATCAGATGTGTTTAACATTTGGAATTCTTTCAAATGATAGGAAATAAAAAATATTTCTCTGCGACTTGTTATAGTAAGAACATTTGAGTTTTTACCAGGGGCATTGTTTGTTCTTTGTGTATTTCAGCCTTTCCCCAGGTCCTGGCCCCAGCTACGTTCAATCATTCAGTATTAGTAACTTATTTTTCTTTTCAGTCCATTAGATATATGTACTTCCTGGCTATCACTTTCTCAAGCAATATTCCATCTTAAGGGAAATACATTATTTGATTTTTTACTAAAATTGTTCTGAAATGTTATCACTTTTAAGACACAAATTTATGTGCTGATTTATTTTATTCTCAGAACAATGCTATCACAGCCAGCGATATACTATGTTACCTACATATTCATATTTGAAATAACTTTCTTTGTTCATTAACAGAATCACTGCCCATTTTATCCCAAATATGCTTACCCAAACAACTTTTAAGTTCTTAGATAGTCTTTACTCTCTGGGGCCTACCTGTTTTCTCCAGCTTTCAAGTGGCTGGCCATTTCCTCATTCCATCAGTCTAGTCTTCAACACTCCACCAAAGCTGGTAGATTACCTGTGCACACGCCTTTTATCTCACTACCCTAACCACAGCGTTCTCCTTGCTGACATACCATCTCAAAGAGACATCCACAAGTAATCGAATCCATCTTTCCTCTTTCCACAGACACCAAATCAAAACAACTCCAGACAGCTGGCTATCATTAAAGTCTCCATTTATCTATCTTAATTTGATACTGAACCCTGAGGTAATAAATTGAATATTTTTTTTTAAATCTAAGGAATAAAAAAGATTGAAAATTCCTCCTAGTACCATGTTCCAACAACTCACTAACTTTTGCTGCCAAAGTGTATTATGTTCCTATCAAAACTTAGTCTTCCAAATGCCATCTTATTTCATTTGAATTTTCTTGGAAATGAAGTGTATTTGGTTACTGTCTGACTTACTGCATAACTTGGGCCAATGATGAAGTCAACAGTCTCATCGTATAGTAAAAACCATCTGTCCCAAAATCCCGCTAGATTTGCACAGGCTTCCTATAGTAGTTACACAAAAAAGTTAGCTAAAGTAGGAAACAGGCCAGGCAGGTGGCTCACACCTGTAATCTCAGCACTGTAGGATGCCAAGGCGGGTGCATCACCTAAGTTCAGAAGTTTGAGACCAGCCTGGCCAACATACAGTGAACCCATCTCTACTAAAAAATACAAAAATTAGCTGGGTGCGATGCGATATGCCTATAGTCCCAGCTAGCTGGGAAGCTGAGGCAGGAGAATCGCTTGAACCCGGGAGGCAGATGTTGCTATGAGCCAGCGCCACGGCACTCCAGTCTGGGCAGCAGAGCAAGACCCCATCTCTCAAAATAAAATAAAGTAGGAAAGGGAAAGGTACCCTTATGTGAAAATGAAAACTTTTATGCTTCTATATACTTATACATATCTCTACGACTTTGCCACTTTACATTTAGTGAATTTATCCCCTTATGGGAACATGGCAGGGTCTAGCCTCTGTTAAATGCTACTGACATCACTTTTCAAGTATCTGAGAGAAAGAATGTGCTGGTCATTGCTACCATGTATCTGTACCTTTTTCTCAGACTAAAGGTTCACAACACTGAGTATGTCATAGTTGATTTTATGTTCCCACCCAGAAAAAGACAGAGGAAACCACAAAAAAACCTCAGCTCAATTAGAGAAAAACCTAACATGGAAATGAAAGAAGAAAGTGGAAATAGGGAGTCAACACAAATCTTCTTTTCCTAAATTTGAATATTTTATTTGTTAAACTAGGTCAACTATAGACAGAGAAGCTCAATTATTATTTGGAGGTTAATTTCCAAAGAAGAGTCTACAATGTTGCTTACTCTGTTATTTTACTTCAATCATTTCTAATGCCTGAGGAATTTTTCACTATGTACATTCCATCAAGGCGCCAAGGGCAAAGCCAATCAGCCAGGTTTGTCCCCTAGAAGTGGCAAAATGTAACTGATAAAATCTGATTTAACATACGGTAAAATTTAATGGCAGCAAAATACAGTCAGTTCCAAAAAAGACAGCAATAACATCTTTAATGAGAAGTTACAATACATGATGTTATAGTATTTATTTATTAAATAAAACATATTTCCCTTTCTTTCAATAAGACGCTTCAAAGAAAGTAGTTTTAAGCACTAAATTTTAAAATACGGATGTCTTTAGAGTATAAAATACCATCACATTTTTGTATTTAAATTACAGACATTCTTTCTGTATTGTTTTTAACTAAAGTAAGGCCACATGCCTTGCCTTCAGTGTTTCATTATCTAGACTTCACAATATCTTTAGGAGCACACAAAAAAAATGTGCTCAAGTAATCAATTCTGACAGCACACTGTTGTCAGATTTAAACCTAAGAGAGAGACACTTTCAGAAATCAGCAATGATCATAGCTCGGAAACTAGTGATCTATGGTTTTCAAGAAAAGGGCGTGGGTCCCTCCTGCCTTGCCCCCCGCTGTTGATTGTTCAAAGGATTCTCTCTAAAATTACTGTTTGCTTGTGTGCTTATAAACGCGCGTGCACACACACA